GATAGTGAAATTTGTGGATAGAAGAAAAATTATGTGACATATGACTGTTAGTCGTTTAAGTGACAATCTAATGTTTATTGAACTGGAACTTAAGGTAAACTGAATATTATGTAATAGCAGTAATGTGTACGGAATGTGATGACAAATTATCAAATGAAACTTATGATACTCGTTTTTAGAATTGAATTCATCAGTTAATTACAAGTTAATAATTTGTATATTCCTGTTACTGAAAAGTTAAGTAAGTAGTATGAAGGCCTGTCCATATTCGGAGTTACAGTAGTAAGTCTAAATTGGAAATAATATGATGAATTCTCAGCACACAATGGATGGTAGCTTATAAACAAATGTATGAAACTATTAAGGTAAAAGTTTCCCAACTTCAAACTTATCGTAGTACTGTACTCAAATAGCGCTTGCTATTCCTAACAAAATCTATGCACAAAAGATTAATGTATTTTATCAACTTATTTTCCAGACTATTCTCGATTGAAAATTAATACGGGTTCATAAGAATAAACATGGTTTGAGTATTAATTTTTTGTAACTGATTTGAAACGCTGATCAAGTGTATATTAACTAATTGTTTTAAGTCACTTATTTGATTAGATAGATAGTTATTTTGAATTTTTGTTCTCTGAACTGGATAGTTTCACCGTGGAGCTTCCATTGTTCTTCTGAACGACATCATCAGCACAAACTTCAGTCTATTAAGATACTGTTCTACGATTTTACTCCCACTTAATTGTTAACTTAATCCGTTGATCTTAATGATGTCTTGTGTACTGATCATTTATGTTATACCACAGTTTATGAACGACAAATCATCTGACTAATAGTTGTATATTTTACTTAATAATAATTTTTGCTGAGATTATAGTTTATAGACGACCTTTGAGTGACACTGAAGTGACCTTGAGACTGTCTACCTACTTACTAGGGCTACATGAGGGTTATAAAGCAGTTTGAAGAATAAGGATTATGATTTACAGTTGATGGTTAGGGTTAGGAGTTAGATTTAAGGTTTTCATCACGAACTGATATCAGATATGATGCCAAGACTCTATTTAACCAAATGAGTGAATGCATTTTGTGCCAAAATCTAAGACATGTTATCGTAAATTTGATTAGTTCGTCCATAAATTATAGTCTCGCCAGCAGTTGTTAACAATATAAATCATATCATTATTATTGTCAATCATAATTAGAGTTTCTTGTTTAAAAATAAAATACATGAAATACGTATAACTAGACAATGCTTGGCTGTTCAAATCTTGGGGATTAAAAGTCATCTACTGAAGAATGACATAAGTTGAAAAGTCTCTGAGATTCATAATATCTCTGCAAAAACATTTTGTCAAGTTTAACATTCTTCATTATTGAAAATTTACGACTCTACAAAAAATTGAAACTAAGGATCTTCAAAACTTGCAATGACCATGACATTTTCATTACACTAATTAATACCGTCTTACAATTAATGGTTCCTCAATCGATGTAGGTTCGTGACGAAAACTGCCGGTAAATGGTAGGTTTATGCTAGATAACTCTCTTACTTACTTACTTCCTTACGCCTGTTATTCCCAATAGATCATAAGCCGTAGATAACTTTCATATCATATTTCTGAATTTTCTTTTAGAAAATAGCCATGTTTTAGACTATTTAACCAGTCAATTTCAACACAATGTTTACTGATTGTAGTCTGTTTAATGATAGAGTAAGATAACCGGAAGACCGTAGTTAAAATGCCTAATTGTTAACTGATAAGTTATATATATCACAATGAATGAAGGAATGAGTCATGACGATTCATATTAGTCATTCAGATCGACTAAAATATACGACTTACTGTCATGTATGTATTGTAAATATTTAGTTTAAATTTGTGTAAGTGGTAGTCTTAATAAACTTTAAAAAATGGTTCTAAGAATTGTTAAGACCCATGGGACCATTGGGCATCCGTTTTATCTTTGTAAGAGACCCCGCAACAATCATTTAACTTTTAAACTACTGATCTAGTGATGACTTTTCACAATTGGAATTCGGTTTTTTCACGAAGTACAACTAACCAGTAATATATTTAACTGTGGTATTGAGCAGAGGATTTTAGATACTCTGCTTCATAGGTAACTTATTTATATATTCTACTTTTGAGCATCAACAAGCACGTACATTAAGCTAACCAAGTGTGTATCTCTGTACAATATTCTGTTTTAAACCACGTATTCAAATGTTGCATTGATTAAGAATGAAATAAATTTCATTCAAAAACAACAACAACAGAAACCAAAAATATTCTCATCGTTCCTAATAAACAATCGTTGATTGCATTTAGAAATATACTTATTCAATCAAGCGGATCAATTCGCGTGATATAAACTATTTACTTATGCTTTATTAAATGGTTATATCACATATGAAGAAAAACAATTTCAAAATCTTCGGTATACATATTTTTTCCGTCGAACTCTATCTATGAAAATAATTTAAAAATGTGTGAAGTCTCTATTTTTATGTTGGATTGTTGGAGGGAATATCCAAGAGGCCGTTACTTTAGATTCTGTTCTAGCTGATGCTTAACAGCAAGTCATATATAACGGTTTGAATGAACTGAGGTGTTATCACTAAGGTATTAAAGTTTAGTCTCCCTCTCGAAATGCTCTCACATGGCCACGCGTATACAGCCACTGACAGGGAAGTTCTACTCACTGCCTTCTTGTGATGGGGATGTTTTTACGAAATTGAGAGGACGAAAAGCAAATGTCCAGCGCTTTAACAGGGTTGGTGGACATGAATATCAACCAAGGGGAGTTGGAAATCCCTCATTTCAAACCAATTGTGCACATAGGCTCCAGTATCCTGAAGGAACAAATGGCGTATAAACCGATCGTTGGTCAGTGGCTATCATGTGACTGCGTCTATTCACGTTGCTGCACTGCCTTGTGGATCAGACCTTTAGGTTGATGGTTCCGGTTGTGGCCCCTAAGAAAACCACCTGCTTTGGTCTGGGCACCCAGATAGTATCACAGTTCACACACAAATGAAGTGACTTGTATGGTGCATATGTATTCGGTGTCCCTTTGTACCAATATTTATGTGTTTAAATAAAATAAACAAACTGAGGTGTTGTCACTGAGGTATTAGAATCGTGACTGACCATGATACTGGGTGATCATGATTGAAAGGACATCTTGCTGACTATGCCAACTATGTTAACATGAAATTCTTGTAATAATGCTCACCAAAAACTACTTGTGTTCCACTTCTTAAATACCTCAATTTACACATCAGAACTTCGACAGATCTATTCTAGCTAGCAAAAATGACAGACATAGATAACAATCACTAAGTATAAATCAAGCTTAAAATTAAGCATACGGTCAGTATAGACAAAAAATTGGTCGTATGAACATTTTTGGATATCAAGGTTGGAAATTTGTGTTTGTGAATTCCTAGAACTTACGTTAAATATAAAAATAAGAAATTTGAAAGCAGAAGTTAGGCTAGATGGAATTCAATAGATAACTTTAAATGAATTGCACATGAATCAATTTTGTGATCAATGTCGAATAAATCTCTTATTTCCCTTTTATGTAATTCACTCAATCATAAATTACATAGTTCAAAGAAATTATTCACATCATAGCTTTGTACTAAATGTGATTTTGATGAAGTTAATATTTCGTAGCCGAATAGGTAGTTCAATTGTAAAACTATCATTGTCTTTCTAAACAATAACAATATTATCAGAAACACAAAGGTAGTCAAAGTAAACATGTATATAATGATAATAATTAATAGAATTTTTGTCAAATAAATAAACTATTAGACGCCTACATACAAAGTCCTATAGCTCTTTGTTGTAATTTGAACTAAAACAAATTGATAATGAGTTCATTAACACTGTTACTTTATACTCTATCGATTAATATTCTGCGTAAATCCAATCTAGTCTAAAAAGCGTGAAACAGAACACTAGAAAAAAACAGCCAAATACATCATATTCTTTTATCATTTATATTATGTTAGACCTAGAAGATTATTTTATTGAAGACATCAGATATCAGACCACAGCCTGTGATAAAAACATAAATACTTTCACTGTATTCACAACTAAGAGATTTGTGGTACGAAAATACTCAGTAATACATTTATGCTTCATTAATGGTAATCATCGGATCAAATGAGAAGGGCTTACAATTAGAATACAATAAAAAACCACCATAAACTTAATGCTGAATATATACACTTTAATTTGATATAGAAAAGATTGAATGTGACTAGTAGTGGAATCCAGGAAGAGCTTATCATCCAATTCGGGACTCATCATCTGTATTTGCCTGCATACCAGAGTCGATGTTCACTCTAAGGCTATTTACTTTAAAGGCCATCAAGTTATCCATTTAGTTACTGTGTCCAGATAGCGGCTCACTTGTGCAATGGGCATCAAACTTAATTTAATTTGAAATGGTTTGGATTATTTCTATATTGATATTTTTAACGGCAATTCGATCATTCTTGGTTGTCATAAGGGCAACCTGTGTCGATTCCATTAATATAACCATTTTGACACAGCTTACTCATGTTATTTACCCCTCTAGAAGAAGCATAGGCTTCTCACTAGTGTCCTCCATTCTACTCTGTACTAAGCAGTGACAATTTTAAATTTCATCATTAAAATATCCAACTTAAATAATATAATATCACTTTAAATCATTCTTCTGTATTATGAAGATTTACTATTATCCATAACTATCCAATTAATAAAGATTATAATAGTTAATATTCAATAAGAAGAAAATATTCTACTAGTTGTTTATACCTCTTAACAGAGAATTAGTTCATCTATAAAATGAAGTGAAATAATTAAATAAAAAGAAAAAGTTGAAAAAGGTGAGATGATTGAGTTTCTCTGCTGATATATATATTCAATAATATAATTATGACACGATAATTATTATCATTAATGAACTTGGAGACACATGTCGCAATATTCGTTCTATGCATCATTGTCATTATTATTATTATTGATAGCAGTAGTAGTAGTAGTAGTAGTAGTAGTAGTAGTAGTAGTAGTAGTAGTAGCAGTAGTAGCAGTAGTAGTAGTAGTAGTAGTAGTAGTAGTAGTAGTAGTAGTAGTAGTAGTAGCAGTAGAAGTAGTAGTAGTAGTAGTAGTAGTAGTAGTAGTAGTAGAGAGTGTATAACGTTGGATAAAATGGGGCATATCCTACATTTCATTAATTTTGAATAGAATTTCATAATTCATTTTCTTATCGTCTCCAAATAAAACAAAAATTTGATTTCATCAACTTTGATTCATTTCATACACGTTGACTGATCTATCGGTCATTGAATACAAAATTATAGAAGGACAGTTGAGTTTGGAAAGGAAATTAGTTTTAGTTTGTATGAATTCCAAATCAGTATTATGATATATATATATATATATATATATATATATATATATATATATATATATATATATATATATATATATATATATATATATATATATACATGTATATGTTTATAACACAATAATTATCTAAGATAAATTAGGATAAAACAGGAGAAAATTATCATTTATTTATATATCCTTTCTATTCTTTTCTGTCACATGTATTAGTTTCGTCATGGATCGTTTCATCAGTTATTTTTGTTTGAAAAGATTACTTCAGGTCATAGAATACAGTAAATGTAAATGTATATATATATATATATATATATATATATATATATATATACAAGTATTCAAACAATACAAGTTCCTGTAGACTGACTTTCTATGTTAGAATAAAATATACAGAAATAATAAAACCGGTTTTACCAAGGATTGTTGGTGAGACTATAATTTGTGGACGACATGTGAGCGACGCTGGAATGACCTTGAGAGTGTTCGCCTAATATCTAGGACCAAATGAGAGTTATAAATTAGTGTGAGGAATTCGAATTATGATTTACAGCTGACGATTAAGGTTAAGAATTATATTTAAGGTTTTCAGACCACTAATATATGATTGTATGGTATATAATTATTAAACCTGTCATTTTTCGACATTGTACAGCGACCTCACCCAGTATCATCAATATTGTATCCCTTGTTCACTCTCAAAGTTTATAAATTTATCTTCATACCAGCCACTAGAGAATATACAACTGTTATTTATTATTTTGGACAAAACAATTATCCAGTTTTTTCTGACGATTTGCTACGATTCACAAAGTGGCATCTGTTCATAACTAATGTACATCATAAACAATACATTTAGTATGTATATATGTATATTCTTAAACCAGTATGAAACATAAATAGGTATACAACATATTTAGTTAATACTAGTGTAACATAGATGAGTATTTCACAGTATCTCATAATGTTGAAATACTGGGCAAACTGACACAACTATAGGAGATCATTCACATCGATAATAGAGACATGGTCTAATGTCTACTCACAACACCTTATATTTGACAAGCCATTAGATTTTAATTATCAGGAACTGTTAGTTATCTGAAATATGGATCTAAACAACTGAAATCTCAGAAAAATACTAATAAAATGATTTTACTACAATTCAAGAATAAAGGAAATTATTTATTCTATTTTTCACAGCATGAATTAAAATCTGTAGTAGAAAGTTTTCTACCCATGTAATTGATGACCTGAAATGTTTATTTCTAGTTCAACTCACTTCAATCATATGTGAGCATAATAGAGTTTGTTGGTTAGTTGAAAATTCACTGATTCTCATTTTTGACACCAATCGATTAACTTTATACAGTTATCGTCCTCTTAAATTATTAGTAGACTACTGACTTATTTATTTATTTATTTGAACACATAGATATTGGTACAATGACCAACGGTTGGTTCATACGCCATTTGTTCCTTCAGGATACTGGAGCCTATGTGCACAATTGGTTTGAAATTAGGGTTTTCCAACTCCCCTAGGTTGATATTCATGTCCACCAACCCTTTTAAAGCGCTGGACATTTGCTTTTCGTCCTCTCAATTTCGTAAAAACATCCCCATCACAAGAAGGCAGTGAGTAGAACTTCCCTGTCAGTGGCTGTATACGCGTGGCCATGTGAAAGCTTTTCGAAAGGGAGAGCGGATTCTCCTTACTCTCGACCGTACCAGGACATTTGAGGGTATTGCTGACCAAAAAATCAATTTGATAACCACTTTTAACTAAACGTGCAAGGGATTTATCAATAAGACAAATTAGTGAGTTGGTTAGATGACTAAATATACGTGTAAATGAGTATGCAATACGATATCAATTAGGACCAATTACATAAATAATAATTCAACATTATTTCACACATAACTTAAATCTTATGGCTAATGTTAACCTTTTTAAGCAAAGATGGATAGTGGCTAGTATTGGAATCCAGGATGCGCCTTTCGTCCTATTTGGGACTCGTCAGCTGGGTGTGCCTGCATCTCAGAGTTGATGTTCACTCTGGGACCAACCCATTATCGTTTGCTTCAAACGCCATCGCGTTATCCACTGCTAGCCACTATTCATCTTTGCTTAAAAATCTTGTGACTTAAGGCTATATCGAGGCAATCCACGCAGTATGCACATATGCCAACATGAGACTGATCAATTACAGTCCTAAATAACAATGAGATGATATAAGTAAAACAACATCAAGTAAATTTAATGTTAACCTTCCAACAGATATTTTACAAAAGCCATAAAAAATAATTTCTATTTAAATTACATAAAATATTTCGGTTGTAGTACACACAATTAAAAAATCATAACTAAGGTAACTTTTCTTGAATACACTGATGAGCAGTTTAGATCTGAGTCGATTATAATTTGCCTGAGTTGAGAGCAATACATACAAAACACTTATTGAAGACCATTTAACGTTATAAGATCCCAATGTATAGAATATTACGAAATCGTAATGATTAGTTGAGTTCCAAAACAGAACTTGACACTTAGTGCACTAGGTAAGTTCATTATCGTACCAAATACTCTTACTTACTTACGCCTGTTACTCCCAATGGAATATAAGCCACCTACCACCATTCTTCAACTTACTCTGTCCTGGGCCTTCTTTTCTAGTTCCATCCAATTCTTGTTCATTTTTCTCATGTCTGTCTCCATTTCTCGGCGTAATGTGTTCTTTGGTCTCCCTTCCCTTCTTTGGCCTTGAGGATTCCATGTGAGGGCTTGTCTTGTGACGCAGTTGGGTGCTTTCCTCAATGTGTGTCCTATCCACTTCCAGCGCTTCTTCTTGATTTATTCCTCCACTGGGATCTGGTTTGTCCTCTCCCACATTAGGTTGTTGCTGATAGTGTCTGACCAATAGATCCGACGTATTTTGCGTAGACAGCTGGTAATAAACACCTGTATCTTCTGGATGATGGCTTTCATAGTTCTTCAAATTTCCGCCCCATACAGTAGAACTGTCTTGACATTTGTATTGAAAATCCTGACCTTGGTGTTGGTTGACAGTTGCTTTGAGTTCCAGATGTTCCTCAGTTGTAAATATGCCGCTCTTGCTTTGCCGATCCGCGCCTTTACATCTGCATCAGATCCACCCTGTTCATCAATGATGCTGCCCAAATACGTAAAGGTTTTTACATCTTACAAATCTTCTCCGTCAAGTGTGATTTGATTGGTGCATAATGTGTTGTATCGGAGAATCCTGCTTTTCCCTTTGTGTATATTGAGACCTACTGCTGCTGAGGCTGCTGCCACACTGGTCATCTTCTCCTGCATTTGTTGTTGCGTGTGCGATAGAAGAGCCGGATCATCTGTGTAGTTTCGATCGTCCAACTGCATCCTAGATGTCCACTGTATCCCGTGTTTCCCTTCAGATGTTGACGTTTCATGATCCAGTCGATCACCAGGAGAAAGAGAAAGGGTGAGAGTAAGCAACCTTGCCTGACACCGGTCTTTACTTCGAACGACTTTGTAAATTGTCCTCCATGCACGGTTTCGCAGTTTAATCCATCATAAGAATTCTGTATGATATTGACTATTTTCTCAGGAATATCGTAGCGTCAAAGAAGCCTCCATAGTGTTGTTCTGTCCACGCCATCAAATGCCTTTTCGTAGTCAATGAAGTTGATGTAATGTGATGAATTCCATTCAATTGATTGTTCCACAATGATCCGTAGAGCTGCTATTTGGTCTGTACACGATCTATCCTTACGGAATCCTGCCTGTTGGTCTCGAAGTTGGGCGTCTACGCAGTCCTTCATCCTGTTTAACAATACCCTGTTGAATATTTTTCCTATTACTGAAAGAAGAGTGATGCTTCTTTAGTTCTCACACTTGCTGAAATCTCCTTTCTTTGGTATCTTGATGAGGTATCCTTTTTTCAGTTTCTTAGTACTTGTTCTTCATTCCAAATCTTACTGAATAGAATGTGGAATATCTTTGCAGTTACTATCAAATACTCTGTAAACACAAAATTATTACTAGAAAGCACATATAGGTAGATAGACAAATAGATAATTAACGAGTGTCCTACTGACATAAATTGCCGGAAACTCTATCGCTAAGATATTCAAAACAATCATGATTGATTATACGAATACATAGTTAACACCATTGATTTCATTTTTTTAAAATACTTTTTTCTTTCACTTTTCTCATCTCAACCAGTTTATCATTACCATTTTAATCATCAATATTTTTCTCTTCTTGTTTTGTTATTTTTAGCCACAGAACTATAAAAGAATTTCTTATTGTTTTATTTTAAAAAATAAAGTGATAACATGTAAGGAAGAATTTGGAAGAAAAAAAGAGTAAATAAAATTCAAATTTTAGTTACTATGAGAAAAAAGGGAATGTTTTTCTTTATCTTAATGATGAAAAAGGAGAAAAAGAAAATCGGCATGGTAAATTAATCGTTGAATACACACACTCGCACACATACAAGCACTCATCAACGAACATATAAGTGATTACTCAAAATGCGGAGGTTATTTCATCGGGAAGTCATAATCATTCCTATAATAATAATAATAATTCCAAAGAGTGATTTAGTTGTGATTTTTATCCTAAATTACTATCCATACTATACGTATAGTTCTATGAAAATCGACTTGTAATTTTTGTTTTTACGAAAGAAAATATCTACAATGATTTACTGAAAACCATTGAATGACATATTCGTTTGTATGTGAAAATAATTAATAAAGTGTATATATTGGTAAGTAGACAATATATATATATATATACACGCTTCTAT